CAGCACCAGCAACGGGGCGTCAAGAGAAAGAGATGGCTGACCGGAAACCCTGAGGGCCGGACAGCCAGAGCAGCCAGGACACGTCCCACCGCCCTGTTCTGCTCGGGATGCTGCGTTACGACAGCGCTTGTCTGCCTGCACCCCTAACCCACAGCATGCCCGTGCCGTACACAGATGTTCAAGCCGGTCATGGGCTCCCTGAGCCCCAAGGCTGTGTCATCGACCTGAGAGAGGACGAGAGGGCACTGAGCGACCCCTGCCTCCCCTTCCCCCTGTTTGCCCCTGCATCCCCCTCCCCAGATATGCACCCTGCTGTCCCACACCGCTCGCTGGGTGTTTCTCTTCGTGACAAGCTGGGAGCAGAGCAGGGTCTCCAGGGAGACCACCAGAGATGTTCATGTGTGCCAGCCCTCCCCCCCCCAATGCAGCACTTGCATCCGTGCTTAATCAATCAAGTGTGAGGTTCATACATCTGAAGTAAAGACATAAGATTTAAGCCATAATGCAGGCAAAGCACCGAAGCAACTCATTCCATCATTTCTGAGTAAGCAGCACATCTAAGCGCATGCCGAGAAGTTTTGCGGCAGAGAAAAGTTTTGTCTGTGTGAGGCCAGTACCTCGAACAGTCCTGTTTCTAGGATGGCCATCTCTTCAGTAAGGCTCTCTTAAACTCTGTTTCCTGACTAATGTGCCATCATAGCCTTGCCGTTACAGATCTTGCTGCTCTAATAGCTAAGAGCGTGTTTACCATGATGTCTAGCAGAGAGGCAGCAATCAAACAGGCAGGTGTTTCACGGCTTCGCGGTGATCCTGCGGTGAGGCTGAAATGCGACTCGTTGCCGGGCTGCCTGGTGACCACCAGCTCTGCTGCAGGGATCTGTGCAGACCCAGGGTTGTGCTCTGTGCCTGGCGAGCCTGACTACCTGAAGAAGCAGTTTTTAAACCTGCACTTAGGAGACTCAACTGCAAGTCACTGCAAGACACGACTCCATAGGCTGAGGCTGAACAGGAATATTGCAGTTCTGCCAGAGCAAAGCAGAATTTCAACAGCAAATCTGTTGCTCAGTTTTCCAATAGAGATGCTTCCAGTTGAGCAACCTTCACAGTGGAAACGACACTTTTTCACTAGACCCACCTCCCAAGAGAAACGAGCAGGGTTTTTTTTTTCCAAAGGGCAATTTGCGTGGTGCCTGTACAAGGAAGCATGATTAAAATTTTGCCCTTCCATGCCCTTATGCAATCTATATATATCAAAACAGATGACCTCCCAGCATCTGGGTAGGGGGGATCACTTAGTTATGAGGGTTAAAATAAATTTCTTCTTTGTGTGTAGTATTTTGCTCCACAGACATATATATGAACACCAGTGGTGAAGAAGCCGGAAAAATATTCTTCCATTCTCCAGCTTCCATGCAGTAATAGCTAAGCGTCTTCCTCATCCAAGTTTTCAAGAGTTTACTCAGCCCACTTAAGATTACAATGGCAAAATATTAAGAGCACTTCAGGTCCACGGTAGCACAAAAGGCCTTGCTAAAGCCGACACAATCAATAATGCATATACCTGCTTTCTTCAGCAACCTCCTTTTAGCATACTCCCTTTGAACCCCGCAAGCACTCCCTACTTAAAAATCAATTCGCATCCAAGAGCCGGTCTGGGGCTGTGCTTCTGTTGTGCTGATTGGGTGTGCACACATGCAAAGGGTGGCTTCTTAGTAAGTAAAACCCTTCATGGTTTTGCAGCATAGATTTTTTTTTTTCTCTTATGACTCTCCATGTTTATTTTGTCCAGCTAATGTGGGTATCCTTTCTTGATCTCTAGTGGGCAATTGCTGGAGTGAGGGCTTTTTCCCTCCAGGATATGTAGGACCCTTTCTTGTCTGGCTGATTTGTTGAGTGACCCTCTCATCTTAAAACAGAAGTAAAAGCCAATCTCATCCAATTTACTCATGCTAGTTTTGCTGCCACTGCAATGTGAGCC